GTGTCATGGGAATTTTCTGCCTGGGCTGGCTTCTTCAAACCACAATTCTCACATCTAGAATCACACTTAGATCTCATCCTCCTGAGTAGCTAAGATTAAAGGTGTGAGTCACCAGTGCCCTGCTAGTTAGCATAGTCATAGTTATTTGTTTGTTTTCATTCTACTTTTTGTCTCACAATGAAATAAATTCTTTCCTAGATTCAAGCCGACATGGAGATGGGGGTTTTCTTCCTCACTCAGTCTGCAGCTGGGATCCTGGGGAACTCCTCTCTTTTTTGCTTTTATAGCTACACCCACCTCACTGGTCGGACAGAAGATGAGCCCCACAGACCCAATCTGCCACCATCTGGTTTTTGCCAATATCTTGGTTGCTTTATGCAGGGGAATCTCTCAGACAATGGCAGGATTTGGATGGAAGTAATGTTTGTAAATAATAAACTTGGAAATAAAGTTCAATATTTAGCATAAACAAAGTGTTATTGGATGTTGTTTTTTCATTTGGATACCTGAAACCCTTAACTTCAAACATATTTAGATCCAACATCTTCAGGTAAAAGGAGTAGTCTAGAAAGGTCTCTCCTGTGGATCATTTCAGAAATCTGAAGACATCCACCTTGTTTGACCTGGACCAGGAGACATGGTGGCAGGTCAAGCAGTAAGCTTGTGTCAATGCTGGTTCCTAAATGTAATGCAGGACCAGCCCAGAATTCCATCTTTGTCCTAAAAGTAGGACAAACTCAGTGTGAGGCCTAACCTGATGCACAATATCAGCAGTCATCCTAAAGCTGATTTAGCCAATGTTCAATGAAAATGTAGTATGCATTTGACAAAAAATTCACGATTATTAACTTTATTAACTTAGTAAAGACTGTTTCTAAAATATACATCTTTTCATTGTGGTGATGCAAATGTAGGTCAATAAACTGTGTGTGTGTGTGTGTGTGTGTGTGTGTGTGTGATATTTTCTGTGTTGGGTGGCTTTTACTAGACATGCAATCTCTCTTTTTCTTGCTATATTCACAGTTACTACTATTTCTTGAGTAAATTTTTCTTTTCCTGGACTTGAACTCAGGGCCTGGATGCTGTCCCTGAGCTTCCATGGCTCAAGGTTCACCCTCTACCAAATGAGCCACAGTGCCACCTCTGCCATTTTCTGAGTTGTGTCTTGGAGAGAAGAGTGTCACAGACATTCCTGTCTGTGCTGGCTTCAAACTGTGATTCTCATATCTCAGCCTTATGAGTAGCTCAGAGTAAAGACATCAGCACCCGTCCTTCAGTCAGTTATGACAAGAGTAGTGTTCCTGGAAACTTGAATGCTTTTTATCTAGTTTATGTCATTTGCAATTGTTAGAATCCATTTTCTCTCTCTGTCTTCTCTAATTGTCCCAGGACTTGAATTCAGGGTCCTGTGCTTGCTAACCTTGTTCACTCAACTTGTACTCTACCACCTAAGCCATGCCTCCAGCCCAGGTTTTTGTTTTTGCTTTTGTGTCAGTCCTGGGTTTGCACTTGGGGCCTGGGTGTTGTGCCGAGCTTTTCTGCTCAAGGATAGCTCTCTACCATCTGAGCCACAGTTTTACTTTCAGCTTTGTTGATAGTTAATTAGAGATGAGAGTCTCACAGGCTTTTCTGCCTGGGCTGGCTTCAAACATTGATCCTCAGACCTCAGTCTCCAAGTAGCTAAGATGACAGCCACCTGTACCCGGCTTGTAGGCTATTTTAGAGATGGAGTCTTGTCTTTGTGCTTGTTCTGGTTTTAAACTGTGATCATCCTAATCTCAGCCTCCTGAGGAGCTAGCATCATAGGCCTGAGCCACCTTTCCTGGTTCTTGTTCGCATTTTCACAGGTCAGGAATCATGTCTGCACTTTCATTTCTAGTTTAGTAATTTGAGTCTTCTGGCTTAGGTGTTATCAATCTAAGCAAAATTTCTGTCCATTTCCTTGGCTTTTTTCAAACATCCAACATTTGGTTTCACTGATTTTTATTTCTATTGGTCTGTCTTCATCTTGCACCCTTCTTTGTTACCATATTGTGTTTACCTTGCTATTATTTTCTTGCTCTGTAAGGAGTGATGACAGGTGAAGACTTTTTGGTCTTTCCTTTTGTAATGACAGGATCTAAGTTATACATTTCCTTCGCAACACCATCCTAGTTTCTAGTTAAATTGATGGATGCCTCTTCATTTTAGGCGATATCTTCATGCTTGGTTCAGAGGAGGACATGTCTATATTCTCTGTATCTCAGAAGGTCAAAATGGCTGGAATAAGTGAGCATATGAGGAGCCTATGAAGGTATCTATGAAGACACTGGGGAAACATGAAAAAGACAACTGTAAAACTTTGAGTCTTGATTATGTACCCCATGCAAACAGTGTCACACATCCAGGTGACATGATGAGCACACCCTCAGAGGAGATGAGACCATTCAGTCTTGAGCCTTTTTCTTGCGGCTCTGTACCTGAGCACATGTGCTGTGACCACTGCCTCTGCTCCTCTGTCCTGACAGCCAATTCCTACTGGGTAAGCAGCTATTCTCTCAGGTAAATGACAGTAGTTAATGGAACTCATCAAGAAAATGCAAAACTAACTTCTCTGTAAAATGTGTGTGTTGTGTGGGGTTAGAATGAGGCACATGTCTTGTATTTTAGGATAAAATGTTTGGTGAAAGTCACGGGCCTCTCTCCTGCCTCGGTTAGCAGTCTTTTTAAAAAAAATTTTTATTTATTTTTTTATTGTGAAAATACTGTACAGATAGGTTACAGTTATATGGGCAAGATAATGAGTACATTTCTTATCAAGCATTATAGCCTTCTCCTTTGTTTCCCCTTCCTATCCC